CTTTTATTGGTAATCAATTCCCGGTAACTTTGCCATTTTACCTCGGTAATTCTACCACAGTCGATAAAAAATATTGGCGTTTTTACCGGGGTCCAGTAAAATTACCTAGAAAGTCAATCATTATACCGAGATTTCTCGGTTAAATTACCAATTCCATAAATGGTAATTTTACGAATTCCATAAATGGTAATTTTACCAAGAAAAAACTGGGATTAAATAAAACCCTGGATTCTTGGTGATTGTACCCCTTTCTTAGTAAATACACAGAGATTTTTTTTTTCAGCGTAAGCAAATTTGAGGAATTAGAGACTGAGCTCGGAGGATTTTTTCTACCTAGGAAATTGGGAATACCTATATTCCCAATTTCCTAGGTAGGGGGCATGCGGGTTGTTGATTCTGACACGGCAGTCTATCTTTTCCTCACACAAAACAATATAAAATCGCTCCGAAACGTGGTCAAATCTGGGCGTAATTTCACGTCTTTACGTGTAGAATTCGTCGCTTTGTTGCTGTATCGACGTAACCCCAATTTCACGTGAGCCGTGGAAAGCATTGAGAATTATGGAAACTAGGGACCATCTTGCAGTGCTATTTCGCCCTCGTGTCATGAAAGTGATGAATTCCCCCGGGACTGGGATCGAGGGCGAGGCGTGAGATCGATTATCGATATTTCCCTATTTGAAGCTATGCTACAGAGTCGATTATGGAGGTTTGCGCTGTGAACACCCTGTTTATCGATCCTTTTCGATAGGTTTAAATGGCAGATCAATAGATATATCGCAAAGCACGTCATGGCACTGGCCCGCAGCGGCGCACAGTGGATCGGGTCAATAGTAGAGGTCGGACAAAATTTGGAAACTTTAAACGCTTATAACTCCGTCAAATCAAAACTTTGAGATTTTAAAAATGGTTTCAATGGATTTCTCGTGAAATTTGCTTCAAAAAGCACCCTTTAACATATAAAATGTAACGAAATAGACATCAAAATTTGCAGTTTAAGTCAAAAATTTCATGTCCGACTTCTCTAATTGACTCGATCCGCTGTGCGGCGACGGATTAAGAATCGCGATTCGCGAATCGGCAAATGCCGCGGAGCATGCACTTGGCGCGAACGGTCCTTGGGATAATTTGATCTGAAAATAGGAAAATTGGCAGAGATCACGCTCGCCGCTCTAGTTCTGAAAAAAACGGAGCGGTGACTCGGGAAATTTTTGAAATATGCCTCAGAGCGCAGGAATTTGAATGATACAAATCAAAGCCAACATTTTAGTCCGTTTGAAATCTGGACCGCCCGCTGCCCCTGCGCCCTCCGCGCTGGACTTCGCGCGTCCACCCGTCGATCCCGATGCTACGGGAAAACAGCGTATGAGCATCCGAACGTTGCCAAAGTTCCCTAGATAAATTATTTTGATTTTTTATTTTAATAATTTTCAAAAGGGTTATGATGATTTTTTACGGAGTTAGGAATAATGTGTCTCGTGAGGCCGTTTTATAAAATAATGTGTCGCTCTAGGGATTACAGTCTAGACAGGGAGGGGGGGTGCCAGTCAGGGGGGGGGNAGTTATTTTTTTTTTTTTTTGATTTTTGAAAATCCTGATGATATCCTGATTTTACCTGATTTTTGACTGCTAAATCCTGATTTCATAATTTTTCCAAATCCCGATTTTTTGCGGAGAAAAATTAAAATTTCTAAGTGAGCGTATGCGAAAGCATAACAAATCCGACCAGACAGCTGACTTTGCTCAAATTCTGATTGTACGACCGATTTTTCTTCAAATCCTGATGAAATTGGGATTGAATCCTGATTGACCGGAAATCCTGATAGAATCGGGGAAATCCTGATGCTAGACACCCTGCTAGGTTTACCCAGGGGGAGGGGGGATTTTAGTCAAGCGTTTAGTTAGACCGCGCTAAAATCGTCGATTTTTCGAAAATTCAATACGAAGAATCGCCGAGAGTTGGAAATATTTCATCCAAAATTCATGGCGTAACGCCACCTTAAGCGGTTCGAACAAAGAGTGACGCAGTTTTTCAAAAAGGTGCGAACCTAGGTAATGGATCCTTTACGAGGGGAGGGGATGACGAGATGGGATGTTAGGGATAAGGGCAATACTCATGCAAAGGGAGCACATTTCCTTAGTTATGAAAATGACCTGACTTCTTGGAATTTTTAACATGACATTTCCAAGCATTTCAATTTTTTATAGATTTTACACCCCTTTCGCGAAAAACTGTTGATGCTATCTCTTGCAATTGTGGAAATGCAACGTTTTGGCTGGAACAAAAAATGCAGGGTTCCATGCGAAATATCCAGATCTCTTCGAGTTTTCTGGACTCGGAAAATTTTCCGACACTTCCAGGTTTTCCCTAACTTTCTATAGACTCGCCAGCATATCACGAGTTTTCCAGAAAACGCTCTTTGTATGAAAAGAAAACTGGCAACATCAGGATGTTCATACGGCGTTTTCCCTTAGCACGGGAGATTTGGCTCAACAATCGGGCTGAATAGCCCTCGGCTTCGACAGAACAGAAGGTTACATTTTTCGGCTCGTCACAGCGCGTCACTCGGTGTTGATTTATTTTTAACCTGCCTGCATGCACAGCCTTTCACGTAAAAGCGAAAAATCACGCGCTCGTCACACTGGTCCACTCAAAATCCGACTCTTGGCCTTTGAGCGAATCCCGGCGGTTTTTCTCAGCGGATTATCCGCTGCTGTTATTAGTATAAGACGAGTATCATCATCACTTAGAATGGATAAGGGATGATACCTAGCCGCGGAGTGCGGAGTGCCTATTCAAATTCAGGATAAAATTTCCACCCCCCTTTTTTTGGAGGAGAAATTTGGAAAAGATTTAGCTGATTGATGAAAATTTAATAAAATCCTACGTTGACAAACTTTGGAGGATTTTAAAATATGTTTTCCAACGTGGCTGTGCTCTGTTCAGTCTATGAAAATACGTTGATTACTCTCCTACCCGCGCGCTGCCGGGCAAAGGACGAATGGCGCAATGCGTGAGGTATTCATGCAGTCTTGTAGGCGCTATGCGTCTCACGCCGACCGCTACTGACCACACTGTTTGACACAAGCGTGAAGTATTCATGCGGTCTTGTAGGCGCTATGCGTTTTATGCCGACCGCCGCGCCGCCCCGTTCCAGGTCAAATTGCGTGTTTGGTTTCTCTCTTAAGTCGACTAATTGAAGGTGTTGTCTCCTGTATCGCCGAAAGACGACAAAATTAGAAATTACTGTACTTTTACTCTCAGGAAATGAGAGATTTGGTCGCCTTTTCTCCTTTGTACTTTATTTTCTGAATTCGATTTTTTCTCTTTTTTTGATACCTACTTTCAAAACAATTGCACAATTTGCCGCCTTCTACATTTTGCCGCCATGGGCCGCGGCCCATGCGGCCATCCCCTTAATCCGGCCCTGGGTAAATTATTGTGTAAATTTTAATATTGTACTTAAAGTAAGTATTTTTGAGAGAAAAGGAGAAGTCGTAGCATTTTAAAAACACTGTAATGCCGCTGGTTCCCTTTTGCTAAATGCGATCCAACTATAGTAAGCGGATGTAACCGAGTGCGAAGAGCCAAAATTGGCGGGAAATCCTGGCATGGCTCGTGCACCCCTTTTCATGGCTCTTGCATATGCTGATCGAGTATGCTATTTTCAATTATTACAGCAATCCCCGTTGATTTGAGCGATTTATTTATTTTCGTCTCTCTTCTCTTCGGAGCGACTGTGTGTTTGCCGGAGGCCAACGACTGCACTTTCAAGGGTGGGATTATCGAAAGGGGTTGAAGTTCTAGTCGACGGGCGCTTTGGAACATTCGGAAAGGAAACAATTTGCAGGATTAGGCTCGTAGTACCTTTCGAGCGAGGGGAGGAATCTAACATTCATTTACCGGTAGTACAACTGCCGGGTGGCTTCAGTTGACGATGTGCAGTAGGTAAGCACGTTTTAAGCAGTAATTTCTTGCTGGAGATGAGCTAGAAGCCAAAAAACAGAACTACCAATAAAATGCGTCTAAAGGCAAGAACTCGAAGAATTTTAAAGTTTTTGATTAAATAGCACGTGGAATTTTATCAAAATCAACTTGAATTTATAACTTTTGCCTTAAATATAGAACATGATACAGCCCATGGACTGATTAAAATATGAAACGACTTAGGTTTTAATTGTAATATGACTTTGCATTCAGAATTCGAATGTTCATAATATGTCTCGTAAATAACACGGACTGCCCAGAATTTGAGCAATTTTTTTTTTATTGTTCTTTCCTAATTGTCTTCTGAAGGATCAAATTGAACATTCAAGATTGACAAAACAAAAAAAAAACAACAGTAAATTCCGAGAAGGAAGCACCGATGGTAACAGATGTAACAGAGCGGATGCAACTATGAAATGTTTCCGTTAGAAATTCGTAGAATTCACGATTTCACGAGACCTACAGAGCAGAGGCTTGAAAATGATGTTCATTACGACAACACAGTTCATTAATGATTTTCGAACTCCGCGATAACCTCACGGGGCCTACATTTTCCGCTTTGCACTCAGTATGGAGTCCAGTCTGCCCCAAAGCTACATGACTCACAATCTGCGGAGTTAACAACGCCATATGCGGAATTAACAGAGTTAAAAGGTTGCGATAAATGCAAATTGAGGAGCTCCTAATGACCTGTACGGGCCAACAAGTGCTAGTGCTCATTCCGACTGGAGGCTATGGTTTGATCCTCTGCATAAGCCGAGGGAGAATATATGTTCAACCAAAATTTTGATCAAACTATGATCCTTTTTAGGACTAGATATTTACGACAGCTCTGGTGGTTACATCGATTCATTTTGAGTGTTGTCCATCATAGTTTAAATGATACTGAATTCACAGTAAGTAAGGAAGAGAAAAAACAATAACAATGAGAAAAAGTAAATCTTCTCGTGGTAGCTATAATTAAGATCTTTGAAAACAGGCACAAAGTAAGGATGAAAAGTAAAATTCTTACCAGGTGTGGACGGACTATCTACAATCGGTGACAGGCCACCAGCTTTGACTATTTCTGACAGGGATAATGAAAAATTTGCAAAATTCTGGAATCAGAAAAATACATCAAAAAAATTAAGTTGGTTTAGGGACAAAGAGTGCATGAAAATTCTTAAAAAAAATGGTAACACGCTTGATTAGGATACATACTTTTAAAAATTATTTTTCCTATTGTCGAAACGGTGATTACGATATAAAACCAAATTTTGAAGTCAGTATAGGAGGAGAATTTAGTAAAATTAATCTTAAAAAAAAACAAGCTTGAAAGAATGAGAACTAATTGTAACATGGTGCCACCAATGAAACAATTTTTCTTGACTTTTAATAATAAGTAATTTATGAGCCTTTTGAAGTAACCCATATGATTTTATCAGGTGGAATTCTACGAGAAAATGTAAAAATAAGTTCCGCGGAACACCTCGCATTTTGGCGAATTGTAGAGTTGAATTTTTAATCGATCAAGACCCCATCATTTACCTCTAGACAGAGGCGTTTGGTATTTATCCCTTGTAGGCTGACATCCGCGGCGAACACGCAATGTTGCTCGATAGTGGCTTTTATCGATGTTTCCCGTTCCAGCAAACGTGAAAACGAAAATGATCATTTTAAACGTGCAATTTGACAACGCAGCGCGGAGTCATTGGTCAACAACCTCCGGGTGAGCGATTTCCGATCGGAAATATTGTTCCCGCGCATTTCCTTCGAGGCACTCGCTGCCGTGCTACTCCTAAGTAGAAACGCCGTAAGAAAATTCCAACGTCGCCAAATTTCCCTCGGAAAAACACTTATTCCAGAGAAAACTCGTCGGTATTTCCCCTGGGAATTGTCAAGACCACTAGATCAAACTGCAATGAGAATACACCAGAAATTTCAAGGATAAATTCCCCAAAAAGTATCCAGAAAAATCGAATTAGCTCGGATGAAATTCGGCAACCTTGGAATGCTCATACGGCGTTTCGCCTTAGCACGGCGGCATGACTTGGCCCTACCGCGACCTTAGCTTCTTCACCGGTGAAAAAAGTGGAAAACCGGGCTGCGAGAATTACAGCAACGGCTACGCGCGGGAAATCGTGGGGAGGGGGGGGGGCGTTACGCAAAAGCAAAGGAAAACGGCCGGCTGGAGTCCGGATCCGCATGCATTAATGCTAATTAAAAATGAGTCCACACTTTTTCGGGTAATATTCCGCGCCGAGTTGAACGAACACGGAGGCACCGACGCGGACGCGACGCCCGAATCAAAACGGAATCGGAGGCGAACTTTCACTTTTTTGTTCGGCACCGGCCTCTCGGCGGCGGCGAAATATTGTAATCCCATCGGATTCGAAAAAGAAAAGACAACGACACAACGGCGCGACCCACCGGCTGACGGTAGGAACTTTCATTTTCCTCATCCACATTTTGTAGACTGATCGCAGGTAAATTCTGTCATGCTCGGGAAATGTCGCACAAGCAACTCGACTTTTCCGAATTTCTCCGGGAGAAGACTGGATTTTTTTTGAAAAGCCATGGATAAATCACTTTTGATTCACGTAACGCTGCCCGCCCCCCCTCGCTTCAAGGGCGGGATTTTCAATTTTTCTCGCGGTTTTTTGCAAAGTCCCCACCCCCCGACTCGGGTTTGTCACGTAACATTGAGCTTGACCCCCATCCCACTTGTAACGCACCCTAACGCTGGCTCAAACCCCCCTCCCCGAGTGCGTCACGTAATACCGCCGTGCTTAGGAAGAACAGCGTATGAGCCTCCAGGTGTTGGCCTAATTTCTTTCGATAAAAACCGAATTCACTAGGAAAATTGATTGAATGAATGAATTCTTTATTACAAAAACAATTTTACAATTGAATACATGATTTGTTAGATAATGGAAACTGAACAACAACTACCGGTGATTTAAACCAGTATCAGTCTGTTTTTGAAGATTACAAAATTTTGAATTTAACTGTTGTGTACGTTTAGACTTGCTCAGAAAATTTAAGTCGACTGGAAATCTTGAGGAGCCAAAACCGACGGAGCGAGATCACCTACTGGGAAAATTAAGAATATTTTTTCTCAGAATATTTCAGACCATTCGTGCGCAATTTAATCTAAAGTACCTGAAAATTTCAAGGAAAAACATGCATAACTTTCCTTCAAAATGCATGTTTGATATAGGAAAATTTTGGAATATAGGAAAACTCTCGAATGTTCATACGACGTTCTTCCTTTCGGCCCCTAACTTTTCGAACAAAACCACGATCTCCCATTTTAAAATTGTATAAAATCCCATCCGCAATACGCTATTCACCAGCTTTTCTCATCCCGTTTTATTTAATCTAACGGACGGTTTCACACGGCATCTCACCTATCTCTGATCTGAGAGTTCGGTTTCGGAGTTTAAACAGCTCAGCAGCACCGGGCGCACCGCTCCATCATTTTTCGTATTGTGCCGCTCCATCCTCCCTCTCGCGTTGTTTACGTAGCCCCTCTCGCTTTTTAACCGTTTTGTGCAGATCTCCGAGTTCAACCCTTTTATCCGTGGATTAAACTCATCATCGGTTTTTCGACCCTTTCGTTTCCTGCTTCCTTCTCCCGATTTTTTTCCATCGCTAATCCCGGTTTTTTTATTATTTTTTCTCTATGAAATTTTAGTTGTGCACGTCACGATTGAATCTATATTTTCCCTCGGTAAATGATGACATAATCGAGACAAAAAGAGTTTTGTTTACCGACGGTCGCCGTAGATCACAACTGTTCGGATTCATCCCTTTTTCAAGGGCTCGAGGACCGCGCCATCCATCACGGTCATCATCCCTCAATCTGCCTTTCTTTTTTGGCAGTCCTTCATAAGTGCTACGTAATTGATGCCTTCGTGATCCAGTTCAATGGCTTCTGGGGAAAGTGTTCATCAAGAACTGTTTTTGATGAATCACGTTGTCGATTATACATTGATTTTACTCGATCGTCTTTTTTATTTTGGCCCGAAAACTAAGTTTTGGTGGATATTAGAACCTATATACAAGATATACTAGGCATGAAATATTTTCTCCTGTGTGTTTAAATTCCAACAGCACTCCAGATTGATATTTGCGTACTGAGTGTTGGAATTGATATACAAAACAATAGGCAAAGAAGACATTAGGAGCATTGAAATTAGTTAAAATGGGTGGTTCTTATAGATTAAGGGAGTTAATGATGGACTAAGTAAAGGGTCTCTCGTGGGTTGCCGTTAGTTATAGTCTATTACATACCTCCTCTGTCAATTGAAACTACTCGCTTCCACCAATAGGATCCCTCCGTATCCCTTTTGTCGTCTTTGACTATCGCTTCGTACCTATATCAATTTCAACAATCAGGCTGCTGAGAAGGCCACGTTTTTTTATTGAAATGTAAAACAGTTGACGAAAGCTGTACTAGATTTATAGTTTGTTGATAATTTATATTGCAGAGATGTCTTTGTGGCAGAATACCTAATAGGACTACATTTTTCAATTGGGAACTACTATTTCTGGCTCACCCATACCTATCCCCATAGGAAAACTGGGAGCATATATGTTGTTTCCGAAACGGGCCAAAAATATTAGTTCCAAATTACAAAATGTAGGTATAATCAAATTCTTCTTCATAACTGCTAAGAGCGCTAAGAAAACTAGAGTTGCATTAACAGGTATAATTATGATAAACTAATGATCAGCGTGCTATGAGAACATATCTGAGACCTTCAAAAACTGTCATTAAATGTGGTTTTCTGACATGACCTCGATCCGTGTCCTCGATCATTTCAATACTACTTTTCATCAATATTATGGATTAGAAAAACGTGCTGTATTTCATAATTCCGTTGATTACAGAAAGAGTTCTCTTAATAAAATATTTCCCGCGAGTCGAGCACCTTTCGGCGGAAAACTAGTGGCACGTGTGCGAAGTTCCATACGTCGGTAAGTTGGAGGAGGCGACAGGCGTAGAGGGCACAGAACCGAATAATTTGTTACGGTAATAACCTTTCCGCTAGTCTTGCTCTCATTTGCACACAATCATCTTGTAAAATGTAAACGTGTAGTTGTGTCGCATAGCCGCATGCACATGTGCCGCACCTTTGAACCACCACCGCTCATCGGCTGCGGAAGGGAAAGAGGGCATTTTAACATCATCACTAACGCGTATACGCACAGAGATCATATCTTTGTATGCATAGACGTAGGAATGGATCCCCACGAGGCGACGGTTAGCTGAATTTTCACGGATTTTCCTAGATCGAGGTTGGGAAATAGTGTCATTAATCAGCCAGTGGCGTGGCGTGAATTTCGATAAATCGATTGTTATGCCACTTAAACCTATGGTAAATAATCGATTATTAGGTGTTCGCTGCGAACACCCTGTTTATCGATCCTTTTCCATAGGTTTAAATGGCCGATCAATCGATATATCGCAAAACACGCCACGCCACTGTAGTCAGCCGAATAATCAAATCGGACCCTTGCGGGTGGCAAACATGCGAACTGGTTTGCGCGAAAATTTAACTTGTATGGATCTTCATAGAAAACCTCAATGCATGATCACATCGCACCAAATATCACTTCAACAAAAACAAATGAACAAATTGTCTCCCGGACGAGATAAAGAGGTAAAGTGATGTATATCATGTGAGCATAGCATTTTCCCTCCAACAAGGAATAACGAGTGGTTCCCCGCCATAAATACAGGAAACATCGCTGGGAGTATATTTCTCAGATTTTCAGACATATTGATGCCCAACTTGAAAAAGTGAACGAATTAACGTCTATTCTGCCTTGCTAGGAAAGAACGTCGTGTGAACATTCGAGAGTTGCCAAATTTCCCCGGATAAAAAAATATTTTTGACGGAATTCATGCAAATTTTCCCTGGAAATTTTCGGACATATTAGATTAAATTGCGATAAATATTGTCTGAAAATTTCTAGGAAAAATATTCAAAATTTTCTCGGTGATTTCAGTTTTTGTTGTAGGAATTACGGCGACGTCTGAAGGCTCATACGGCGTTCTTCATTAGCACGGCAGTATTGGTCCTTGAGAATTCGCCCAATAACCGTGGAT